CAGTAGCAGTACTGTCAACAATGTATCAGTAGCGGTACTGTCAACAATGTATCAGTAGCAGTACTGTCAACAATGTATCAGTAGCAGTACTGTCAACAATGTATCAGTAGCAGTACTGTCAACAATGTATCAGTAGCAGTACTGTCAACAATGTATCAGTAGCAGTACTGTAATGTCAACAATGTATCAACAATGTATCAGTAGCAGTACTGTCAACAATGTATCAGTAGCAGTACTGTCAACAATGTATCAGTAGCAGTACTGTCAACAATGTATCAGTAGCAGTACTGTCAACAATGTATCAGTAGCAGTACTGTCAACAATGTATCAGTAGCAGTACTGTCAACAATACTGTCAACAATGTATCAGTAGCAGTACTGTCAACAATGTATATCAGTAGTATCACTCAGCAGCAGTACTGTCAACAATGTATCAGTAGCAGTACTGTCAACAATGTATCAGTAATGTATGTATCTGTGTCAACAATGTATCAGTAGCAGTACTGTCAACAATGTATCAGTAGCAGTACTGTCAACAATGTATCAGTAGCAGTACTGTCAACAATGTATCAGTAGCAGTACTGTCAACAATGTATCAGTAGCAGTACTGTCAACAATGTATCAGTAGCAGTACTGTCAACAATGTATCAGTAGTACTGTCAACAAGTCAACAATGTATCAGTAGGTCAACAATATATCAGTAGCAGTACTGTCAACAATGTATCAGTAGCGGTACTGTCAACAATGTATCAGTAGCAGTACTATCAACAATGTATCAGTATCAGTTCTGGGAAGATACCAGACTGTGGAAGCAGTCCGTGTGTTGCCAGTATGTTACACAAGGCCATCAATGTATATACTTACATCCATGTATAGTTAGTCTACACCAACTAAGCCTCTCGGCAAATCAATAACAACTCAGTTCACTGAAACATTCACCAAGATAATAATTGTGCCGCAGACAAATTAACTACCACAAGTACCTTATTTATGCTCCAAAATGTTGAAGGTATCGTTTTGATACCACAATTGATTGCCCATATAGGGTGATCTGCAAGCAGCCAAAGTACTGCTGCTTCTCTCGGTGCTCCACTTGTAGTAAGGGCTCCGCCTCAAGCACAGCATGTACAGAAGAACACTTCATATCATCCAGATGTTGATATTTAACATGGCACAGCACATCCAGTATAATTAGAAATGTAGATAGTATCAGGACATAAATCCAGCAAGTGGAATCACAAAGATTAAATTCTCCCATAACAGAAACTTTTATTATTACAAAACTGATGAGAAATGACAACGTATGCATAAAAACATAAAATAACCTCAAGTATGAATCTACGAAGACTGAGACAAACCGGCAGTTTTATGGAGAGAGAATAGATAAGAGCAGCTGCGTCATTTGATTCCATGATTTTTTCATTGAATCTTGCAGCCATCACCCCATGAATCACCCATGCTGTTAATATATGGCGGTTCTACCACATTACTCCTCAAGGGAAATCACCCAAGACACGTTTCAGCCGAGCAAATTCCTCTCAAACAGCCCTCAAGGGGAGTTTATTAACGCTCATTATGTGACCGTCTTCCATCCAGAGACAACTCTGGTCTTTCTAGGGATTTGAGAGCTGGTACCTGGCTGAAATTTGTCGATAACTTTCAAGTCGATTCTATTCTCTACCAATGTTAATATGACAGTCATATGACCTAATTATCTCTAATGACATTGGTAGTGTCTGTCAAAGGAAGTGTGAGATGAGTCGCCTGACATTCATTACAACCCTTCTAATCCACTCTCAAGTCAGAAGTAATAATTCCTCATCCTCAGTGTTAATAATGTTAGTTTGTGTTCACCAGTAAGGACTGCTGACTTCCCAGTACCGATATGAAATATCCCATAATGCTCACCATATTCATTACTTGCACAAATCAATACTTATTGACATCTTCTGAAATTAGACCCGTGAAGGTCCAGTAACCCATGCTTGTCGTAAGTGGCGACTAACAGGATCGGGTGGACAGCCTCGCTGGCTTGGCTGACACATGTCATCTGTTCCCAATTGAACAGATTGATGCTCATGCTGTTGACCATTGGATTGTCAGGTCCAGACTCGATTATTTACAGACCGCTGCCATATAGCTGGAACATTGCTGAGTGTGGCGTAAAACTTAACTCACTCACTCACTCTTCTGAAATTATGTAATTTGTGTCATACCTATTTACTAACAACCTTGCTTTTAGTGTAGTTTAAAAATTTGTCTGCTAGAGACTACTGGTGAGGTGAAATGGAGTTTGACGCTGCACTTAAGAATATTTCGCTCTTAGGATAACGTGCATGCGTGTGTATGTGTGTCTGCATGTACTACCCAGACTTAAGCTGGTTTTATAGCGCCGCAGGTAAGCATGAATACCCCACTCTGACACATTATCACTGACTCCGAGCCGACCAGTTCTTGTTGTACCCATTAATGCCAAGCACCAGTCAGGGAACAACAAGTACCATATTTTAATGTCTTTTGGGATGACACGGCCGGCTGCGACCTTCCGCTCTCTCGGGCGGACGCTCTAACCACTACACCACGGAGGCGGTCCTAGAGACTACTGACAGTTGTAAGGTAAGTAGCATTCTATCAAAATGAAGGTATCTTGTACAGACCAAACAAAGGATGGATCTCGATCCTGCTGCATCTACCCTGACTATAGAGTCAGGCCCCTGATTGAAGTACAAAAACTATGGACACAATAACCTCCGACATGTGGTGTGACTGAATGGCAGATGATAATTTTCATCAAACTGGAGCTTAAATTTTTAAAATAAGATGCCCTTTAGTTGAACATTTATGTTACATATCATGGGTGCTTTCTGCAATATATAGCTGATTCACATTTAAAAAAGCAGTCCTGCTGTGGCAGCCATTTTGAATTTTTCAAGTTAACAATGGTAATTTGTTGCAGCGTGGGAAACAGTGAACTCTATATTTATTATTTATGTTTCAATAAAGTGGGGAAAAAAGACTTCTCAGTGCAATGGTAGAGGATAACATTTAACACCAACAGATTTAATTACATCCAACTGACTATTTCTGCCTGGTCTACAAATGTTGGGGAAAAGGGCCGTTTGCTATTCATGTAAGACCCTTGTGATCCTCAAGCTCATGAGTAACTTTTTCTCCTACACTGTACACAAGATATTTTATGAAAAAACATTCTGTTCCAAATTGAATCTTGATACATTTCGAATCAATACGAATATCATTACTTCATTAATTCTTTTCCACTACTTCATACCAATACAAGATACAAATCCAATAAACTCCAAACGCGGAATGCAAACCAATGTAATATAATTACACTTCCATCCTTCTGAGTATTATGTATTTCAACAAATAGTGTCTAAAAGCCAATTAATAAATTTACCTCCCTAGCAAAATCAAACGAACCCAGAATCATCTGCAGGCAAATAATTGACACAACTTAAGAACCTCCCATTTCCAATGCAACCATTAAGCCTTCAGCTGTTCAGTTTACCTCCCCGAGGGAATACCATAATTATAATTTCCTAACAATAATTGAAGTGTCAGATCCAGACGTGACCGTGAGTTGATCTAACAAACAGCCCCGTCTAAGCAAACACATGTAGCAAATTTACTTCCATTAATCCAATAAAAAAATATTCCTTGGAATCTCCCCTCACAGCAGGTGTGAATGATAACGAAAAAGGGTGCGTCTTTGCGAGTCGACAGAAGCATTAACTGTTGAAAAAGATGCTATAAGCCAAACAAATCTTTGCATTACTGGGAGGACGTGGAGAGATAGGTCCATTAACCGTATCTTGGTGCAGGTGGATGCTGTGCATGCAGATGCTAACGTAGTTGATGTAGTTCCCCTGTGTGTGATTTACACAACGTTTAACGTCTCACTGATGTGTCCCCAAGGTTTTCAGACAGGAAGATATGAAGGATTCTCTCAACTCTGAATAAAGGAACCTTAATTTGAAGCAATTATTATGATCAATTCTGTTATTTCCAGACATTTCCAAACAGTGTACCTTCTGATGACCAGAGATCAGTCCGGCTTCTTTCGGCATTAAAAGTTAAAATGTTTGGTTTGTTGTCTATGCATGACATCCATAAGGCTTTTAAACCATGATGGCAACGTGTACAAGAGATGTCACTGTATGAGTGAGTGTGGGGAACTGAACCCAGGTCTTTGGTGTGACCATTAAAAGCTTTAACCACTAGGCTACCCCACCACCGCCGTTACTCTATCATGTCATTGTGCTATGCTGTAGAACTACCCTACCCTACATGTGATAGAATGTTTCAATACATTTGCCATCAGATTGCAATTTTAAAGTGAATGACTTTAGTTCTACGCCGCACTCAGCAGTATTCCAACTATATGGCAGCGGTCTGTAAATATATAGAATACATTCTGACAGTTGTCTTATCCAGACTGTCATTAAAATAACAATTACATTTGACTAGAGAAACCAGAACTCACTCACCTTGAATACCAAGCAAGGATGGTCCATCTAGTGATTCTCTTGCTACAGGACAAAGATCATTACGAAGATCTACTCACCTTGAATACCAAGCAAGGATGGTCCATCTAGTGATTTCTCAGGACAAAGATGAAACACCTTGAATACAAAAGATGGTCCTCACTCTTGCTACAGGAAGATCTACTCACCTTGAATACCTAGCAAGGATGGTCCATCTGGTGATTCTCTTGCTACAGGACAAAGATCATTACGAAGATCTACTCACCTTGAATACCAAGCAAGGATGGTCCATCTAGTGATTCTCTTGCTACAGGACAAAGATCATTACGAAGATCTACTCACCTTGAATAGCTAGCAAGGATGGTCCATCTGGTGATTCTCTTGCTACAGGACAAAGATCATTACGAAGATCTACTCACCTTGAATACCTAGCAAGGATGGTCCATCTGGTGATTCTCTTGCTACAGGACAAAGATCATTACGAAGATCTACTCACCTTGAATACCAAGGACGTTCCACCTGGCAATCTTGTCACTACAGGACATGGTGAGGAGACGTTCCCCTTGCAGTACTCCATCCCACGTTTGTATCGCCCCTGATGTCTTCACTGGGATCGTCCCCTCCCCAGACTCGATCTTTGTCCTCAGCTGCCCTCGAGCCTTCCTGTTGGGGTGTCTGTCAGCCAACTCTGCCTCCTTCTCATGGGGTGAAAATATCCGGGAGTCACCACAAGGAGCTGTGCTTATGTACAGATGGAACTGAATGTTCTCCTTCAAACAATAGCCTCCATTTTCCTTCTTGATGAATATGGACCCCTCTGCTATGGGGTCAGAACCAAGATGCATTTCTAGCTGGGAGTACAGGAACCTCAACAAGGACCTCCTGGCCATGATCTCTGCGTGACAGTCATTGACTGCCTGGCCCTGGCTGCTCATGTATTCCCCATTGATGCACTTGGTGCCGGTCGTCACACAGATCACCTGAGCATTGTCTGTCTCCGGACCCTGAGTCATCACAAATCCAGCCAGGACTTTCCGCCGGGCGTACTGGCTGGTGAAGCCGTCGGTCAGCTCACTGAACTTGTCCAGAACCAGCTTGGATACAACATCTGCCAGGATTTGGGGAACTTGAAGAGCACCGTCCCGAGGAACTGGTAGTGTACCTGCAACAGAAAAGAGGTTCAAGTCACAAGGATCAGTAGTCAGCAGTACTTCTGCACGTAACTATATTCTGCATTAACTATCAAATGTGACAGGCCCATCCTCTGTAATCCAGGAACAATATCTCCCTGTCAGGATGAATACCAGACGTCCATTGGCTACGATAGATTTGCTCTGACCCAAATTCACAAGCCAAGAAATGCTGTTTGAATGAAGTAATTTACCAAGCAAGGTTATATTCTAAGTCTTTTATTAGTGAGGTGGAACTACTGATGTCAAGTAAAACTATGAGGCGAATGGGTCGGGTTATTTCTGGTAATGGAGTTAACACATAACACACTTGACTACATCGCGCGTGACAAGGCAATATAACACAACTCTTCTAAGAAGCTGCCTTGAGAAAATGCTATTTTGACTCAATATTTTGCTGATTATCATTGGATAGAGTGGCTTACAATAAGTTGCCAAAGATGCCTTTGTGACACACGGGATCTATTCTGCTCCACGAAACTACATGCATGGGAGACAATGGGTTACTGGGGAGCTATTATGCCCAGAACCAACATACAAATATGGTTAACATGTTACTTGCTCACAAGCCACATTAATTCCAACAGTTTCTTTAAGACATGTGACACACTTCAATAAGACAAAACATTACCATGCCATAAGTCATTATAAAGCTTGATGTGCTGACTCATAAGTGGTAAAATAATGCAGAAACGCATCTGGGTAGAAGGAAGGGGGGCTTCTCCAACTGTGGTCAATCGGCTTTCACATCGAATCAATGGACATCAGTGAAGTTAATAAAACATGAAATAATTTCACATTAAACGAGATAACTTTGGAAATTATTACAACAAAATCAAATCCCAGGAAGATGTTTGTCCTGAATTGTTCACCTAAGGTACTGATGTGCTTCAACTTGGGTGTAACTGCCACATTTAACCAGAGGCTTGACAATCACAACAGATTAGCTTCATAATCACATCACTGTATAATTCACAATCACATCAGAACAGCTTCATTTAGCTCCTGGGTAATGAACATTGCACAGATTAGAAGAGGGCATGAAGACACATCTGACCTATTAGTACTGGCTGATGAAAACATTGTACGGGACATTTAACACTGATTGCTGCAGTTCTGTTCATCCAATCGTAAGGTGGATGAGCGTTTCGGTGTGTTGTGGTGTGAAGCGGTTCAGGGGAGCAGATCAAAGTGGAGTTAAGCAGGCGAATGGAGCAGAGCTGTTCAGTGGAGAGATGCAGAGTGGGGTGGATCAGAATGGAGTGGATAAAAGCAGTGAGCAGTGAGTAGAGAAGAGAGGAATGGATCGCAATGGATCAGAGCAGAACAGAGAGGAGTGGAGTTGAATGGAGAAGAGAGTAATGGATCAGAATGGATCAGAGTTGCTCAGAGAAGTGGAAATTAAGGGAACAGAGCAGAGCAGAGCAGAGCAGAGCAGAGCAGAGGGGAGTGGAGGAGTGGAGTAGAAAGTAGTGGAAAGGAGCAGAGCGGAGAGGAGAGGAGTGGATCAAAATGGTGCAGAGTGAAGTGCAAACACTTGTTTGCTCTCCTGCAGTAAAATTATATATAATAATGACATTAACATTTTCAGTGAACAACTATGTAGATAGCTTGATACTGAGAGTATTCCACACCAACCTAAGATGCACACATGGGTAGCAGTTCTAACAAACACTGATAGCTATCATGTTTCAGGCCAACCAGATGTTACTGGGGTTCCACAGTCTTCAGTTCTCACAAATACAGGTATTGGGGTAGACACACACTTGAGGACCAGATTCATTTCTCCACTTGACAGTGTCCCCATCATCATGTTTCTTGAATATTGATAACAGTGGCATAAATCCAAACTCACATGATAATAATGGATTCTGGAACTATCATCAAACATGGCAGTGGAGCTGTACCATAAGTATCTATCTTACAAGACTTAATGGATATGCTGTTGAACTACGTCAAGTTTGTTTCAAGTGACCCATTGTATCTGGAGCAATGTTTTGTGCATGTATGGGTCAGAAACACCTCCTACATCACTGACATAATTATCTCCTCCTGTCGTGTGGCTTTGTTTCCATATCAACAAGAACTCTCTTACACTCAGTAACTAACTTGCTTGTAGAGGATTTGAGACAGTTACGGATAAGACTTGAGGACTAGACATAAATCATTCTTTGATAGTAGTCAGTCAACCAAAGCGGCCTGAGAGTTGAAGATAAATTGATTATAGCATCAATTATCGAATATTACAAAGAGATTTCCATAATTAGCAAACAGCCAATAGATTTGTACTGACGAAACTGCAGAATTTGCTCAGAGATTTTCTAAGGTCGTGGTAAGGTGGTGCCCAGGGTAATCTGTGTAGGTTATCAACATGAAAGGCACTAGATGATGACTGTTCAATTCTCCTTTTTCCAAAAGTGAGTGAGTGAGTGAGTGGGTGGGTGAGTGAGTGAGCAAGCAAGCTTGGTTGTATACCAGTGTCCCAGTTAAGAAACTCCTAGAATGGGCATTAACTATCACACCCAAATACATTGGTCTTTAATGTTTCCTGTAGACTAATGCTTAGTCTCTGAATATATATAATTTTGATAGTAACAAACAAGCCCATTTAAATTGAAAACGAGCCCCAGGGAGACCAGAGATTCAGAACCTGAGGAAATCTAGACTTGCTTTATTTAGGGCTTTAGCACTGCAGAGAAGGCTTGGCAGCAGGGAAAATAATGTGGTTCAGGGACTGTGAGACAGACTATGTTTGCTGTTGAAGCATCTGAATCTAGAACCCCTAGATCCAGTATTACAGCATCTGAATCTAGAACCCCTAGATCCAGTATTCCAGCATCTGAATCTAGCACCCCTAGATCCAGTATTCCAGCATCTGAATCTAGAAGCCCTAGATCCAGTATTCCAGCATCTGAATCTAGCACCCCACTCCATCCAGTATTCCAGCATCTGAATCCCTAGATCCAGTATTCCAGCATCTGAATCTAGCACCCCTAGATCCAGTATTCCAGCATCTGAATCTAGAAGCCCTAGATCCAGTATTCCAGCATCTGAATCTAGCACCCCACGATCCAGTATTCCAGCATCTGAATCTAGAACCCCTAGATCCAGTATTCCAGCATCTGAATCTAGAAGCCCTAGATCCAGTATTACAGCATCTGAATCTAGAAGCCCTAGATCCAGTATTACAGCATCTGAATCTAGAACCCCTAGATCCAGTATTACAGCATCTGAATCTAGAAGCCCTAGATCCAGTATTTCAGCATCTGAATCTAGAAGCCCTAGATCCAGTATTCCAGCATCTGAATCTAGCACCCCTAGATCCAGTATTCCAGCATCTGAATCTAGAAGCCCTAGATCCAGTATTCCAGCATCTGAATCTAGAACCCCTAGATCCAGTATTCCAGCATCTGAATCTAGAACCCCTAGATCCAGTATTCCAGCTTCTGAGTCTAGAACCCCTAGATCCAGTATTCCAGCATCTGAATCTAGAACCCCTAGATCCAGTATTCCAGCTTCTGAGTCTAGAACCCCTAGATCCAGTATTCCAGCATCTGAATCTAGATCCCCTAGATCCAGTATTCCAGCATCTGAATCTAGAACCCCTAGATCCAGTATTCCAGCTTCTGAGTCTAGAACCCCTAGATCCAGTATTCCAGCTTCTGAGTCTAGAACCCCTAGATCCAGTATTCCAGCTTCTGAGTCTAGATCCCCTAGATCCAGTATTCCAGCTTCTGAGTCTAGAACCCCTAGATCCAGTGTTCCAGCATCTGAATCTAGATCTCCTAGATCCAGTATTCCAGCTTCTGAGTCTAGAACCCCTAGATCCAGTATTCCAGCTTCTGAGTCTAGAACCCCTAGATCCAGTGTTCCAGCATCTGAATCTAGATCCCCTAGATCCAGTATTCCAGCTTCTGAGTCTAGAACCCCTAGATCCAGTATTCCAGCTTCTGAGTCTAGAACCCCTAGATCCAGTATTCCAGCATCTGAATCTAGATCCCCTAGATCCAGTATTCCAGCATCTGAATCTAGAACCCCTAGATCCAGTATTCCAGCATCTGAATCTAGCACCCCTAGATCCAGTATTCCAGCATCTGAGTCTAGAACCCCTAGATCCAGTATTCCAGCTTCTGAGTCTAGAACCCCTAGATCCAGTATTCCAGCATCTGAGTCTAGAACCCCTAGATCCAGTATTCCAGCTTCTGAGTCTAGAACCCCTAGATCCAGTATTCCAGCTTGAGTCTAGAACCCCTAGATCCAGTGTTCCAGCATCTGAATCTAGACTGACTGACTGAGTTTTAGTTTTACGCCGCTTTTAGCAATATTCCAGCAATATCACGGCGGGGGACACCAGAAATGGGCTTAACACATTGTGCCCATGTGGGGAATCGAACCCGGGTCTTCGGCGTGACGAGCCAACGCTTTAACCACTAGGCTACCCCACCGCCCCTCTGAATCTAGAACCCCTAGATCCAGTATTCCAGCTTCTGAGTCTAGAGCCCCTAGATCCAGTATTCCAGCTTCTGAGTCTAGAACCCCTAGATCCAGTGTTCCAGCATCTGAATCTAGAACCCCTAGATCCAGTATTCCAGCATCTGAATCTAGAACCCCTAGATCCAGTATTCCAGCATCTGACATGCAGCAAAATGACTGATAGCCTGTAACACTCAGTGCAGAAAATGTAACATTTTGATAAAAAACACTGATGGATAAAATCATTTTAAATAGAAAAATGTGGAAATAAACAAATCATCATTAAAAAACCCTTTATCACACAACCCTGGAAACTATGCAGCTCCCAAATGACTTCTCATTCTGCATTATTTCATCACTTACACGAAAACAATAGAAAAATGGAAAAGATTGAAACAACAAAAACAGTTTGAGAATAGGTGAAATATCCTAAGACTACCCAATTCCAACAAGAGCCAGCTATTACGACCGTAGACTCCCTGAAGGGCTATATTTGACA